ATAAGGAGTAACTTAGGCTACTTTTATTTTAGAAAAATAAATTTAATTCCACGCGGACGAAGTCGCGGGGACAGCTTGTTTTTAATAAAAACTGTTTATTTGATAAAAAAACATCTTTTTTGTGGTACTTGAGAATGTTGAAGCCTGTTGTTTGTAATATTGAAATAACCGTTTTTTACTACTTGCATATGAATATAAATACGGTACATACACCAAAATAACATATTTTACAATTTTTGTCTGTCTGTCTGTTTGTTCCGGCTAATCTCTGAAATGGCTGGACCGATTTTGACGGGACTTTTTTTGGCAGGTAGCTGATGTAATAAGGAGTAACTTAGGCTACTTTTATTTTAGAAAAATAAAGTTAAAAACCACGTGGACGAAGTCGCGGGAACAGCTAGTGTATAATATATTAGAGATACCTACGTGTTTTTTTATTGATGACTAGCTGTACACGGGATTTCGTCCGTGTTGAATTTAACTTTATTTTTCTAAAATATAAGAAGTTAAATTCCACGCGGACGAAGTCGGGTGTACAGCTAGTTGTCGGTAGTCTAGCGATTTAGCTAGCACACTGCTTTGATTCCTGCTTGGTGGTCGAGGGTTCGATTCCTCGCACGCTGCAAACATTTGTATTCATGAGTATGATTGTTTGTAACGGTCTGGGTGTTTTCTATGTATAGATAATATATATTAATTTACGAAAAAAAATCTTTGTATTTATATCAGTACCCATAACACAATGTTCAGCTAGCTTAACTTGGGTCTAGATGAAGCTGTGTGAATTGTCCTGAGATTACTATTATTACTATAATAAATCTTTTCAAATCAGCCGATGTTTATTTTTGCCATAATACGTGCTGTTACCATGTGATAATATTACGTACGTACTTATTAAACTATTAACTTATTATTAAATTGTTTGTAACGGTCTGGGTGTTTTCTATGTATAGATAATATATATGTATTTACGAAAAAAATCTTTGTATTTATATCAGTTGTCTGGTACCCATAACATAATCTTCAGCTAGCTTAACTTGGGTCTAGATGAAGCTGTATGAATTGTCCTGAGATTACTATTATTATTAATTGGTACACAGGTAAACTACTAACTAGGCCATATTGGTGTTGTTTGTTATGGTGAAAAAACTAGTAGGTATATATATAAGTTACACGTACAATTTCAAAGACTTATTTCTTGAAAACTACTGGCTATTCTGAAATAAAACTTTAGTGTTTGTATATGTAATGTTTGCATATAAAATATGATTAAAGGTTACCAGTGTATTTACACTTTTACTGAACAAACAGAGTTGTTTAATACTGAAAATATTGTGTGGAAGGAATCAATTACTTTCAGTGCATGTATAGCTTTTCTCTTTTCCTAATTATTATTATTATTAAGTTTAAAGTGGTTGAATTTTACGTAAGGGGTTTTTATACATTATTTCTAATGTACCATTTATTTTAAGTTTTTTAAACTCTATTCATCGAGACCTATCTAATGAGTCCAAACACGATATTTCTGCTGTAAGTTTTCGAAGAGTATGTTCATCATCTTATAATACTGGTGCCAGCATGAAGTCAAGGTTAACAGATAACTAATTACTTTTATTTCGTCAAAATCTTTAGATTACGTATAATAAATTCATAATATCGCTACCTATTCAAATCAAAACAAGTATTAGGTACTTCATGTACTAGTATATAAATTCATCAACACACAAGTAAATGATTTTTAAATATATTCAGAGCCAAAAAATCTTTGTGCATTTAAAAAAAATGCCGATACGGATTCACTATTGCAGGAAATTGTTGAAAAAATATATATCGAGTATAAGTATCTACTACTATCGACGAATACATTTGGCAACAACGCATGGTCTCGGCCGGAACGGCAACATCGCATATTAGAATACAAAGATAGTGATAGAAAGAGAGAGACAGTGGATCAGCAATATCTACGGATCGTGGCTGGATCAACTAAGTGTGCAAGTGTATATAAATATATATATATATATATATACATTTGTCTTTAATTCAAAGGAAATATAAATAATGAACGCATCACATTTAAAACAGTATAAATAGTTAATAATTTAATAATAAGTTAATAGTTTAATAAGTACGTACGTAATATTATCACATGGTAACAGCACGTATTATGGCAAAAATAAACATCGGCTGATTTGAAAAGATTTATTATAGTAATAATAGTAATCTCAGGACAATTCACACAGCTTCATCTAGACCAAAGTTAAGCTAGCTGAAGATTATGTTATGGGTACTGATATAAATACAAAGATTTTTTTTCGTAAATACATATATATTATCTATACATAGAAAACACCCAGACCGTTACAAACAATCATACTCATGAATACAAATGTTTGCAGCGTGCGAGGAATCGAACCCTCGACTACCAAGCAGGAATCAAAGCAGTGTGCTAGCTAAATCGCTAGACTACCGACAACTAGCTGTACACGCGACTTCGTCCGCGTGGAATTTAACTTCTTATATTTTAGAAAAATAAAGTTAAATTCAACACGGACGAAATCCCGTGTACAGCTAGTCATCAATAAAAAAACACGTAGGTATCTCTAATATATTATACACTAGCTGTTCCCGCGACTTCGTCCACGTGGTTTTTAACTTTATTTTTCTAAAATAAAAGTAGCCTAAGTTACTCCTTATTACATCAGCTACCTGCCAATAAAAGTCCCGTCAAAATCGGTCCAGCCATTTCAGAGATTAGCCAGAACAAACAGACAGACAGACAAAAATTGTAAAATATGTTATTTTGGTGTATGTACCGTATTTATATTCATATGCAAGTAGTAAAAAACGGTTATTTCAATATTACAAACAACAGGCTTCAACATTCTCAAGTACCACAAAAAAGATGTTTTTTTATCAAATAAACAGTTTTTATTAAAAACAAGCTGTACCCGCGACTTCGTCCGCGTGGAATATAACTTTATTTTTCTAAAATAAAAGTACCCTAAGTTACTCCTTATAAATCAGCTACCTGCCAAAAAAAAGTACCGTCAAAATCGGTCCAGCCATTTCAGAGATTAGCCGGAACAAACAGACAGACAGACAGACAGACTAAAATTATAAAAATAGTTATTTTGGTATATGTACCTTATATATATTCATATGCACGTAGTAAAAAACGGTTTTTTCAATATTACAAACAGACACTCCAATTTTTATTAAATGTATAGATGTATAGATTATTATTAATTTATTTATTTATTTATTCATCCAAAATAATACAAATTGTGTAGGATAACGTAATAGTAACATTACAGTAAAATTTTGTCAATAACATAATAGCAACTTAAACATTAAATCTCGGTATATCTATAGACTAGCTGGCCCCAGCGACTTCGTCCGCGTGAAATTTTATTTTATTTTTCTAAAATAACAGTAGCGTAAGTTACTCCTTATTACATCAGCTACTTGCCAAAAAAAGTCCCGTCAAAATCGGTCCAGCTATTTCAGAGATTAGCCGGAACAAACAGACAGACAGACAGACTGTACTATGCTATACTATGTATTGATTGATATACCTAAAATAAATATAATATCTGAGGTTTGAACAAAAACTCAAAGGGTAATTTATTTTGAAAAAGTATTTTGAAAATACCTATTTTGCTTTTAGTGTTATAGTACTTTAACTGTTATGTTTTAAGTAACAATGTTTAATTATAATTAATACTACTGCACCAACACTCCGATCGTGCAAAAAAATTTGCTGTTTCATTATTTTTTAGTTCAATTAGTGGTCTACCTAAGTTCTGGGCTAAGGGGGAGGAGAGTCATGACGCCCCCATGACTCCCATGACCTCCATGACGCTCCCCCTGGATCCGCCGTTGCGTCTTCTCTTTATTCGCTCAGTAACGTTGTTACAAAAGAAAAGATTCCCATCCAAAAAATAACAAGTATTGAGGTTTGATCTGGAGTCACGTTACTCCAGACTGATTTCTATAAATATTTAGATTAGGTAGACTATTATTTTTGAAATACTAGCTAGACATTATTAAGTTACTGTAGCCATAATGTAGTAGCCCAAACGTGCCAATGAGGAAGCCCTTGGCAAATGCTGCACCCTGATTGGCCCGTTTGAATTGGATCAAGAAGTGGTCGTATGCCAAAAAGGTGGATTTGTATAAAATCGTGTATAAATCGCTTAATTATTATTATTACTCGTCGTGACAGTTGTGGCTCAAAACGGATCAACATTTATATATGGTCATCTGGCATTAGATCAACAAAAGGCCTCCGGATCAACAAGTGAAAAAGGATCAACAAAAAACTACCTATACGGCACGTCTGAGCCACAAAGTGCCCAAGGGGATATTTATATATATATATATATATATAGCTTCACATTGATTAATACCAGCACAGAAACAAACCTCCATTCGCTTATTTGACAATTAACAATATTGAAATTTATTGACATGACGTTTTGTTGTCAGTCGTGTGTGTGTAATATTTTGTTTATCGATTTAAAGTATTATTTAGGCATAATTAAAAAAATGGCATTCTGCACTCCTCTATATAAACTGTGGGAAATTTCATACTCCTCCGTCTGGGCAATTTTCTTAAAAAGATATTGTTCTCAGATTCTCCTTTTTGTATGGCTTCAAACTGACAGTAAAATAAATGATCACGTTAAGTATACCACGAAATATATGTGAAACAACACTGGTTGCATATAGTTTGTAGTATTGGTAGTTATGGTAATTCCATTGAGGGTGACCAAGCCAAATATCAGTCACAGTATTATAAACAACGTTCCCTAAGTAGCAAACTGCAATTCTGATAATAGATTCTGAATCTTTCAATCAAACAAATGAAGCCTTTAATCGTTTTAATATAAAAGGTTAAAAAATATATACTACCACTGGCTGATTGGCTTGGTACATTACACCTTGTGTAATATATACAAGTGACACAAATATTCTATTTTAACAACTGTTGTACTATAGTTTATGTTTATCTATTTACCGTCTTATTCATACAATTTAAATGTCTAATAAACCTATTATAACTGTTTTGTCCTTTTCTTTTGAGCTATTTTTTTCGTTTGAAAGAAGGCAACAAAACATTAATAGTTAATATAGGTTTTAACGGATAAGGAAGGGTTTACTATACTGTTTACAAGTAAAATTCATTTACAAAAAAATGTTGATCTCTACATAATAAGGTGTTTTGTACAATAGTAAGTAAAATCTATTTTCGTGGGTTCATCAATAATCAGGAGCTATTTGTTTCGTATTGCACTTTTACTAGAGACCTATAGTAACTTGTCATCACAGTGTTCTTATACACCCTATTACAAGAACTGTGGTTGTGATTCAGTAGGCGGTAACTGCTGACTTCATGAAACCCTACTCCGGCCGTCCAAGTCAACATCTGATCAACATATTATATGTTGGTGACTTTTCTTATCCAATCTCTAACGCTTGCTACTCTTGAGAATACAACCAGGTTTCCGTTGCGGCATTCAAAGGAGTCGTTCTCGACCCACGACGCGACGCCGAGCAATTTGCCAATCACATAGAATGTTGTATTAACTAGTAAATGTTTAATATAAAATTAGGGTTGATTATGATATTAATATAATTAAAAAACTATTTCAATGAATACGGTGCTCTGTGAACGGAATACAACGTTTATGATGCTCTGTGATTTGTTTAAAGTAAATAAATTTATTTGTTTAAAGTTTTACACCGACGAGTCCACTTCCACTGTCACCCTGCAATGTTAATCAATCTTAATAGGATACATTTGAAATAAGATACATAACCTAAAGACTTCAGATAAGGTAGTTTGTTTATATTGAATGAATGGCTTATGTTGTCAATTTATATGTGGTCGAAATGAGAGTATATCTTGGCCTGTCTAGAACTGCAGTGGGGTCTATACTTGAACATATATTTAAAGCTGCACTAGCAGGCTCCTACCAGGTTTGACTGGGTAGGGAGAAAAACACAAGCGGTGAAGGTGAACCCTGACGTGACGTACGTCAGCAGTCACCAAGGCAAAGACGCCCCTTAGGGCAAACCTTCACCCGGGTCACAAGTGCCAGGAATTGCTTCCCTCTCTACCGTTTCGTCTCACTGGAATAGCAAAATTGCTAAGTCCCATCTTATGAAAAGTGGTAATTGTCGTCACGAATAACGATTTTCACAAGTAGTTAGTAGTTAAACAGATAAATTCGACTTACATTGCACGCTGAGTCGAATCTGGGTGGTCGTCCTTTCGTACAAAGCATGTCTTTTGGTCGGTACTGCTCTAACTTGGCGCAGACATCGTCTCCCTGAACGGACAGTTCCATGCCATGCATATTATGGCTCATGGTTCCCTGTAACAAGGTCATGAATACAATATAAATAATAATGTTGACTCAAATATACTTTAGAATGTTATTTACCCGCTTTTTTCATATAAACTCATATAAATTACCAATATATACAATATTTGTTTATAATATATTTGATTTTTGTTATCAATCAGTTCAGGGTACAGTCTTATAATGTAATTTTGTTTTAAATATATTGAATTTATAGGTATCTGAACATAAAATCCCATTTTCAAAATCTGTGAAATAACATTTCTTTTCTTCTTTCATAATTTTATTCTGTATTGTTTCATTCAATTTTTATCATTTGATAGAGATCAAAGTATAGAAGTAGGTAGGTAAAAGCACAGATAACATAATATTACATAGTAAAAGGAAAACTAGACTTTCATGTTTTCATTTATAAAAAAATAATGATTCAACATTTTTTTTACGAAATGTAAGCATGTTTTACTGCAATTTCGCTTGATGTTAAGTCATGAAGCGGTCTAAGCCTTATTATATGTTAAAAATACCAACCCCGTGATGATCTGTTCCATATCCCGCGTAACCCACATCGAGTCCTACGGGAGTCGACAGTTTGTCTTCAAGTGGTATGGCAGCTATGGTTTTGTTGTCCAAAGTTAGAGGTGTTTCTAACTCTGCTAATAAAAAGTCCCATCTTGCTGCCACCTGTGAAATAATATTACATAGGAATATTAGGAAACTAAAGCAATTATAATACAATACTATTTATATAAGAAAAAAACCAGTATTTTTTCTGCTATTGGACCGGTTGTGATCATCGAAAGATAAAATAATACGATTTTTCCTTTTGATATTTGAGAATTCTGTGAAACAATAATAAAATATGTATAAAAATGAAATAAAGCATGAATTCATAACAAGGAAAATGGTAACTATAAGTAAATTTACTTACTCGCATTTTATAGATATCTATGAATATATTAATAAGACTAGTTTGACACTGATTATCTTAGTGGTGTTGTCCAGGTCTATATTTAGGAGTAGGCAGCATTTAGTAGAGACGTGACGAAGACAAACTTGTAATAATTATAAAGTTTTAAAATATAGTTACAATATAAACTATTCATAATTTTCTTTATCTTAGCGCGTGCTACATCTCAAAATAATTGTGACAAATCATTATTTGTATAAAAACATATATTTATATATATATTCTTGTTTGTTTCAATTAGTCTTATAATTTCATAATAGCTTGTATAGCAACCCACCACAAGATGACGTAAGGTGATATGTCTAGACGAATTTAATTACCTGCTTTATATTGAACTGTTCTGAATCGAGCCAATACGGTCCAACGGTGAATAAGGGGTGAATTACGAGCCTCTTCACCCTGTGCAGCACTCCACTCTCGTTTTCAGAGTTGTTGGTTCCCGCCAGAATATACCGACCGCTGGTGAACAGGGTACTGTAATTGGAAACAAATTATAATGTAAGGTACCTAAATGGAAGGCAGATGAAAATAAATGAAAAAGGTAAATGAAATGTTAATAGTTTGTTTAAAGCCAATAATGTACAGGTTCATAAATGAATCAGTTTTGGTAGTTTGTTTTGTGTTGAAAATTTTGTCATTTTGATACTATGCCAATATCTTTAGTACCTATAGATTAGGTTACCTACCTATTGCCCATCGAACCATGTCCAAATGTCATGCTTCATCGCATTGTAGATATATACCTGCCTAGTTGAAATGACATTTCAAAATCCTACTAACAAATTGTAGTTGGTTCCATTGCCAACTAAGTGTTGTATTTGATTCTATTCCTCATCCTTATCATCCTACAATGTGTCTAGCCATCGTACACCGTTAGTGTTAAAGTGTGCAACATTCTATAATGGACAATAAAAAATAATTGTGGGTGAGAATAAATAATTCAAATGATGAATAGGTTATTCATTATATAAATTGAACATATTCTATATTACTAGATGGTGTACTAATTGACCTCCCCTTTCCCATGCATTTATTTAACCCTGTCTGTGCTAATGGCGACGCTCTCGAGCGTTGAATTCCCCTTTGCACTTCGGACCCTTGGGGTTTAGACTTATTTGGATAATACTATTTATAGTAAAATTAGAAAATACCTTAAATTACCTAGTAGATCGTATTAAGTAATAAACTTGTTGAAAAAACAATACAAGTCTACAATGACTTAACAGCAAAGAAAGTGGTTTTTATAAATTGACAGGTGTTTGGACAGCTACATAAATAGATAGTAAATTATACCTAGTTTAATATAATGAGAGTATTAGCAGGAATGTGATTTTAATTGCTGGCACGACGTCACAGTTTGTGGTTGCGGGTTATCAACGTAGGTCCCACATTGGCCGGCTGTGATAGCGATCCTCAAAGTCAATAATTACAACTCCACGTTGCATTAAAAACTATTTACGCGACAAAAGAAGGCGACTCGTGACGTCATTGCGGACGCAAATGCGGGTTAAATTATGAACATACGTGTTTCGTAATTTACATGTAACTAATATAATAAAGTCAGGGACGAACGACTTAAAAGATTTATCTTACACTTCCCTTATATGGATAAGGTGATAATGCCTATGAATTAACGCCACAATGATGGTATTGTGACGTTAATCCATAGGTATTATCACGCAAAGACATTATTTTTATACGACTATGTATTTGGTAAATTGCTATAAGAATTAACCTACATTTGCCCAAAGTACCTATCATGTGATGATTGTAATGTTGATTAATGTTATAAAAAATAATATATACCTTCAAACTCAATTATATCACAGAATCTTTCTTGTAAAAGGCAACGTCATATGGCGGCAGTTACGCGATTATAAAACAGAGGTACATATGCATATAATGTGTCAACTTTACTGCATCTTTATTACTTGTGTAATATTAAATTTAAGATCAGACAGTGAAGTAATACTTACGTAATCTTTGTGTGAACTCTATATAGACATAGGTTGCTCAGATAAGTAGAATCAAGGCTTGACATGAATAACAAAATAAAAATGTACAATATAGATACTTACATGAACTTGGTGTTCAACTATATTAAATTCTATGACTACTATATATACTAAGGAAGTAGATAGCATTTTCTAAATCTATAATATTATTATTAAACTAAAGTTTGCTTGTTTGTCAAGAGATATAATATAGCATTGCAAAACAAAACAGGGACCTCGTATTTGACGTAAACAAAGTTGCGGGTCAGCTAGTTTTAAATGAATGTAGACAATAATTACCTGAGAGATATCCGTCACATCTATTTCTACAATAGAGAAGCCTGCTTACATGTTTTTTTGAAATATTATAGATACGGCACTGAAAATATTCATTACACAAGTGAATGAATGGGGGAAAATATTTGAGGGTCATCCCTAACAATGTCTGCTTGGATTGAGGTTGGGTGCTTTAGATGCCATTTTAGTCTGCCCTTCCTCTGTATACTGGACTGCACTAAGATTTTTAGATTCATATCTCAATGCTATGATAGACTATAAATTTATTTTTCAAAAATATAAAGAAATGCTATCAATATCTGCACTACAAAACCGATTTACCTTGATTCAGCTATTGCAGATTCTTGTATAACGTAATGGATAAAAGTTATTAACGGATTTACTTGATATCGATATATTTTTTAAACGCAATTCCTATTTACCTGGTTAACAGTGTATTAGGAGCCATTATCAATGCATTTATAAGATAATGCGTCAACAATAGTTTTATAATTGCCGAGCGTCATGGAAGTAATTATGACGATGGACTTGTACTTATAACAACGTTATATGTTCATTGTTCGTGGTTTAATATAGAAAACTCCTATGTATTTTATTGGGTAAGAATTCCACAGTATCCGTCCACACCCCTTAAAAAAGGTAGGCGGTTTTATATAAACCCCCCTTTTTGTTTCTCCATATATATATAGGTTTCTCATAGTTTGTCAAAATGTTACTTAGTTACACACATGAGGATACCATTTTTTTAATTTATACGAATGTTATACGTTCAACACGGTTTTTTCATTTATGTTTTCTAAGACCAACTATCGGAAGAAATATTAAATAGGTACTTTATACTAATATAATAACACTAGATTTTCTGAAATAAAGTCGTTTAACCGGAATTACTGCGTCGACCAGAAAAACCCGGCAAGGTAAAGAATTAATACAGCTATTATTATAAATTTATATGCGTTTGTTTTGTATGTAAATTTAATTCCCTGTACAGTACATGAGTCATGACAAAGTTTATTTATTACAAGTAAGCAGGGCTGACAATAGTTTGTTGTAAAGTAGGAAGGTAGCAGACTTAGAACAACAAACCTAGAATAAAATATAAATACTGTTTAATTAAATAAATCTCACTAATATTATAAACGTGAAAGTTTGTGAGTATGGATAGACGTTTGTTACTCTTCCACGCCAAAACTACTAAATGGATTAATGAGACTTAACAGCAACATAGCTTATACATCAGAATAACATATAGGCTGTAATTTTTAAAGATATTATTACTGGGCGAAATATAATGAGGAGCAAGTGTTATGCAGACGAAGTTGCGTGGGTCAGCTAGTTTATATAATCTAAACATTTTTGAATAGACATTTTTTTGTATCACTTAGAATGTAGACTTGGCTATGAAGAATATTGTCCACTTTGTTATATAGGTATCTTAAATCAGGTTTTTGCTTGGAACTGGATTTACAACTATTAGCATGGTAAATAGGTTACATATATATACCTATATGGTTACCATCTAATAAAAATATTCGAAAACTATTTACCTACTCGGAATACACTATTTGGTAGATTATAGTTAATTAGTAATATGTTAAAATTTGTTGCTAGTAATTTGCTTTTGTTGTTTTATTTATGTTTGGTTTGATACAGTAAGTATATTTAGAGACACTTTTAAAAATAAGCTTTATAGTACTTAAATTCCATAGTTACACTTTATTTAATTTGTTAGGAACTTAAGACATTTAAAACGAACATGAATTAGTAAAATATAATATAATTCCTACCAAAGTGTGTAGACTTTTTAGTAAAAAGTCTAGTTTTCTGTTTCTGTCTCGTTTTTTCAGTCGTCAATAAGCTTAAAGCTAGCTGAAAGTTTTTAAATAGAGAAATTATAGATGATGATACCGTAGTCCTACGAAATGCCAAAGCATTAGAAGTACTCCGCACGTCTCAAAATATTCTTGGTGTTGTTTACGTACAAATAATACATAAAAATATAGGCGTCGGACGCCACATATCATCACGTGTGTGATCGTGTGATGAGTTTTTTATCACGCTTTTTTTTTTTTTTTTAAAAAATCATCAAACTAGGCCTGTGATAACGCATTGTCATTGTTTTATGGTACTCTTATTGTCATTCGATGTATTGTGACTGAAGTTTTTTATATACATGGGCTGATACTCGTAGTTCGTAGTGCGTGGCAAAAAGTTTCTGGAAAAACGTACTGTAGATGACCGCCATTCATCCAGATGATTATCATAACTCCTCTGATGAGAGGCTTAAAGAACAATGCATGATAAAGACATGTTAAATATAAAGTCAATCTGGTTTCAGTAATAACTATGTAAAATTATGTTATCTGTGGTAATAACATTGAAATGAATTACAATGTAACCAGAAAGACAGCTATGCACAGAGCAAGTAGAAAACTTGTAAACACTGTTTTATGATACGGATGATCAGCCAAGAGATGATTAGATGTATGTTGTTTAAAACGTGTACTGATTTATAATATGTAGGTAGTTATTGTTGCTCGTTTTTTCTATTGAGTAGGTACGTAGGTAGTTGCAATACCAAGAAGCTTATACAAAATAATATAGGTATAGGGAAAAACTGATACTATATAGTAAGATAAATAAGTTTGTAAACACATCTTTATAGATACGGAGTATTGGTTTGGTCAAAACACGGTTAGATAAATGAGGAGTCTGTCTTCTATTTTAAGTGAATTTAGGTATAATAATTTACATTGTTAGACATAGTTGCAATACTATCAACATCTTATAGCTCTTGTAGTATCTTTACACTTGTACTATATAACAAAGTCCCCGGCCGCTGTTTGTTCAGATATATCTTTTAAATTACGCAACGGATTTTAATGCAGTTTTCAGCATTGAGTGATTCAAGAGGAACATTTATATGTCTAATAATACATGCATGCATGTATGATTTTAAATGTATCCGCGCGAACCCGGGACGGATCGCTAGTAATATATGTATACATAAATACACAAGTAGATGGCACTTGAGTCTATCTTTTCCTCTCAAGGTAACCGCGACATGATCGTGACTGACATAGTTGATTAGAAAATTTTATTTAACATATTGCATGTTATCGGTTATTACTTATCCTATTACTTGTAATTAATTATAAGTATATATAATAATATTAATAATTTGTGTTATTTTAAAATCTATTTTCATTTTGCAATCATCATCATCATCATCTGCTTCTTCCTTATCCCATTTATTTGGGGTCGGCGTATTTTCATTTTGCAATAATATATTATAATTAAGTACTGGAATTGAATATATAAAATTGTTAACGACGAAAATGTAGTAAATAATTCATTAAATTCGTGTAGATAGTTATAAAATATTGATAATTTGTCTTCGCTCAGAACCGGCTTCCATGCGTGTATCTATTTGCGCATAATTATATTGTATTTAAAGACAAAAGTCAACGATTGTTCGTTGACTCTGCTTATTCCGTAAGGTATCTGGCGTGAAGATAGATAGTTGACGAATTAGAATGCATTTAATGTTTGAACGTGTCACGAAAGTAATATCTCATTTAATAGCATTATCGTAAATATGTACTGAAATTTGATAACAAATATCAGTAGATATTTAGGATAATAAATGTTAGGATCACAAAGTACCTGTATTACAACACATTTAAATGACATTGACTATACCTGATGCTTATTGATACAGCCTTAAACAATAATAGATAGATTAAAAAAGTAGACTATTATAATCAAGATAAAAAAGTTATGATGTTTAATTTCAATGACAGTTACACCGACGAACTGCCAATTTGAAAAAATCTTCAATAAGATTTCGTGCGTTTCGTAAACTTTCACAATTTACTTGTAGAAATTTTTTGAAACGCAAGTCAATCGGTATTGATTTGCATAATCGTTTCAGCTATGTAACTTTGGTTACGCCAGTAACAAATATTTAGATAGGTTTGTAACATTTATTCAGTAGTTGAGTCTTCATTCTATTCAATTTTTTTTAAATAAATATTTTTTTTATGGATGTTAATGGAATGTTGCGGTTGCGTTTGCCAAATACATGAAAATCTTATATATAAAATTCTCGTGTCACAGTTTTCGTTCCCATACTCCTCCGAAACGGCTTGACCGACTCACATGAAAAAAAAAAATTGAGGGGTGGACTACACCCCTCAATTTTTTTTTATTTTAAGGCAAAACAACGTTTGCCTTGGCAGCTAGTGATACTGTAATATATTCTTGGGGAGAAGAGATTGTTAATAAGTAATGTTAACTAATAACCCCATTGCTAGTAATGTACTGTCAGGATGACGTCCACGTGGTTCCCCTGGAAACAATCATGGGAAAATGCAATTTGCCAAGATGGACTAATTCACCTGTCTTCATATTTCTTTTATCATCCTTCACGGTACTCCGCCAGCGTAATACGTTAGCGCAAACGTGGGTACCATTTAATTGTCATCCAAAAACAAAAGTATACCGTACACACCACAAAAACAAAACAATAAATAATAATTTGTGAAAGAAAACCTTAGGTAAAGTAACCTGACAATACTAGAAAAAGTATAAAAAAAGATTATACGAAAATCAAACATACCAGTGTCCTGCTGTAAGAATCCAATTAGGGCTGATGATGGATCCTCCGCAGGTGCCTCCATACAGGACTGCATGTGGATACTTCTCATTAATGGGTTTATCTAATGGTGGGACTTCATTATTTTCCGTTGGTTCACTGTTTACTAAAACTTTCAGTTCTTGTGCTGTGGACATAAATATAAGTCTTAAAATTAATCAAAAGCTTGTATGATATCTTGTTAGGATTGGTTTTAATTATATTGTTAAACTTAAGTATTATTAGGTACAGGTAAAATAGTCTAATAAATTAAGTCAATATTGCACAACATTGAGGAGAGGAGTTAAGCTTAAGAAAAAGTTGTTTATCTTCATCACTATTTCTTTATAATTCGGCGTTATGTTTTTGTTTTTATTTGAATGTATCTACGCGCTCGATGTGTAAAAAATAAGTACTCAGAACTATTAAAAAGTGACAGGAAAATACAATGTTATTGGATATAATAGATTTGTTTACTTGTGTTAATTGTCGGTGGAGTGATCACATCTATGACGTAAAGAAGCACCAAACAGAAAAACCGATTGGTCATAAGTGGCAAAAAAGTTAAACGTAACCGCAGCCAACAACACTAGAGTTTTTCGAAAAAGGGTAGCTGTTGTATAATCAATTATAAAAGAAATGTTCCAATTGAGTTTTTTTGCCAGTTCTTGTTAATTTAAGTAGCTTGCCGAACTGGCCGTTTTATGTATAAAAGTATAGACGTGCGTAACTAGCCAAAAATGTCCTATGGTAAATGATTTTGACTTTGTCTATATAGATACTTAATATTTTAATTTATGTATTGATCCAACAATGTAGATGATCTAATCATCCTAATCTCTAAAAAGAGACACATCAACATCTACTGTTGATGTGTCTCGTTTTAGAGATTAGGCAACTGCCTGACTAACACTATCAAACTAAGCTACTAATTAGTAACATAGCTTACTAACAAATTAAGTATTTGTATGATTATAACAGCAATAATGTTACAAAGCATATCATCAACAAAGAACCTGGTTAAACCTCGTAATAGCTTAGCTTGTTTGTTTTAGTAAAATGTTTGTATAATTATGTATAATGTGAGTAATATTCCAATGCCCATCATTATACAAAGAAACTGACTAACTGCGTGTATTACGCATTGGTTGCCTGATTTTTTGATAATGCTATGCTCCACGTTAGCAGATTGTTTCATACATGACATGAAAAACACCATGAAATAATATATTGTGGAGCCTAATGTGAAATCAATAGTTCAAAACGTGGGGGAGAGGGCATAATTATAATATAAAAAACTTGACTTTCATAAGCGGCTAAAATGTCCTACATGAATAAATGATTTTTGAATTTGAATTTGAATTAGAGGATTGTAAGTAATAGGAATTAGCGGCCTCTAGTCGGTATTACTTACATTCCTCTCCCCCGCAGGCCCCCATTGCTAGTAATGTTTATCATGTGGACCGCCTCGCGGCTCCCATCAGACATCACTAATAGCTGGTAAATCCCTCACAATGTGCTAACTGAGTTAACTTTATCCTCATATCCTGGAAAGTGGCAAAAGCTCCACCGACAAGAGAGTGGGTTTTAAATTATGAATGAATGAATCTCTGATGACCTCTAGCGTATAGCGTTAGCGCAGGTAGGTGACTATAAAAAAAGTTATACATAGTTTTCAACTATGACATAGAAGTTATAATAGAGCTTGAGTTGCGTATTCGAATTGCATTCTTATATTTGAAACCGAACATTGACCAGACACGTAACAACCTAAAAGTAGGTACTATTGAGAAAAAAGTTGACTGTTTCTTAAATTGACAAACTGCTTGAATATTCCGAGTGGTTATTTACACACTTATTTGTTCCATGCGAATCTTGCAACATACAGAGACGATTTGTTCCGCCAACATTTAGAAATATCAACTCTTAAACTTGACCCCCAAACTACGGATATTTCGTAAACTTGGCACTGAAGTAAATATAAATATATCAAAATTTTGCATTTATCATGTCACTTATTAGATAAAAGACAATGGTATTTTGTTTCTCAAGACTAAGTTTGACGTAACACATTTTTGACTTAGATTCCACGTCCCTTGTGTTTATCTGTTACTATATAGCTCCTTAATGGCAACATAATATTTTAAATTAACAAATTTTGTTTAATGAATGTATCTGGAATAGTGTAACCGTTGGACTACTGGGATACCAGTGGAGAATGATGAGTTTGAAGTTAGATATGTTAAAAACGAATTCATGAGGATTTAATCATGATGGTTTCCAGAAGAATTGCGTGGAAGTCTTGACAAGACATTCCTAGCAATGTGGTATCCGGTCGCTATTTCTAACTATCCCTTCTCTCTCTATTTAGGATAGAGAAAGACATTTGTCCCAGTCATATTCATATTTACTATTTATATGCGACAGTTATCACTTGTTTGGCATTTCATTCGCAGGAGGGGATTGTTAGTAATATGGACTAATGATCCCATTGTTGGCGATGTAGGATATCAGGTTGAACTCCACGCGGTTCCCCTGGAAACATTGCTGATAAATTCCTGGTGAATTTGCCACGATGGTCTAATGCCCCGCCACTGTAAACTGTTAGAGCAGGCGAGAGCACTATTCCATTATCTATTTAAAAAACATTCCATCTACATTAAAAGAAATTGTCAGTCGCTATCAAAAAACAAAACACAACTATGTCTCCTGTGAAGTTGCATTAAAACCATACTATATATTCGTGTCTTCAACACAGCTCCGGCGTTTTTTCCACAGAAACAAATTACCATACAATTACAAGTTGTAACTTTTTTGTTAGGTCGTTAATGAGTGTCAGTTATTAAGCATGCAACTAATATGAGCCTAAGGCAATATAGGTACTTCTATTAATGATTTAATGACCTGCTGGTTACCTCCCTCTATGTATATGTATAAAGCGTAACTATAACCGATTTAAAGCATCTAGGTGTGTATATGTTGGTTTATCCAAAGTAATTTCTGTTAGTAATTAGGGACCGTCCACATAAATTATGATTCATATAATAGCAATAAAAATGATGTGTTTACTAAAATGAGATCATAGCGTTAAATATTTTTTTCAAAAACGATTTATATCCGCTATTTAAATTAATACATAATAGTGATATTTTTTGTAATCAACAACCTTTAAATATAATAATTTCATTAATGAATATTTAATTGGATGATGAAATAATAGAATTTTAACAGGACTACAGGCACATATAGATAATAATAACAAACAGAAGAGTGTTCCACTAATCTTGATTTTCTGCATGACACATATCTTATATGACAGGCAGATAATTTATTACAGAGATATATTTATATATTTTGGTGATTTTTCCAAGGTATTAGTCCTCAATATTTATTCCTCTGTTTCCGTGATTGTATTTCATACTTTTTATTTATCCTCTCTTATGTCTATCATATTTTATGGTATGTTTGTTACAATACCAAAAAGTAACAAATTCACTTTATTGTTTATTATATACTATTGTTTATTATATAGTACTAATATTTATTGATATATCGACCCAATATATAAATATTATAATTTATTTATTTTGATCTGACAAAGTCTAAAAACTCGTCATTTTGTTTTTTTTCTCTTAAATGTAAGAAAATACATAGATATTATATATTGTAATGTCAGAACTATATTAACAGTGTTTATGAGTCGATGTCATTTTGATGGACTGTTTATTTTGCATGTCTCTGTTTTCATCCTTTAATAATTTTGTATGCTTGTTTTGTGATTACCTTGACGGTACGCTCAGAATTAAATTAATATCGCCACAGTTATCAATCGTAATATTTCTAATTTTACACGCACTTGTTTATATTTAGAATATATACTATAATTTACAAGGCATACATACATATAACAAATACGTATCCATGTAACAAAATACGCAAATTTTGTTGTATTCATGTTTGTTCCAATTTTGAGCACTTACTTAATATTTTAACAAAATCTAAATCATTTCAACATTTTATTATCACTACATGATATTAAAGAAAGAGAAAGTATAGACGCTGTTTTAAAAGATTGACCTGTAACCATAGTGTTAAGAAGAATATAAGGTACTCACACTTGTCTTTCTTATCGTGTTGCACTACATCGTTGTCGCCGGGCCGTGCGCGCGCGCACGCCACCACTACCACGAGCACGAGCACAGACAACCGCCGCAGAGTGAGCATAGTGCTGTTGTTTCCTCGGATCCATTCGACGCACTTTATATAAATACATTTACTTGATCGCGTATTTGGTTTTTTGTTCATTTTCGCTGTCCGTGTTGTGGGTAACACTTTTGTTTTGATTTGTAACTTTTTTATCATAATTATAATTAATTTTATTGTCAGGTATTTTATTCATAATTCAAAGGGTATCCTAATATGTAGTATCATTAATACACATTATGTATTTATTATATTTAGCCAATTATTTATATACCTAATACAGATGTTGAAATTATGAAAGTAAACTATTATATAAAAAATGGAATTCACCTTGATGAAGAATATTACAGTATTCAGACAAAGTAAAACAAATATTAGTGTTGTAAATAAACCAAACGAATACAAATATAAACTACTGTTATATTTAAAAATTCAAAAACCATTAATTACATTGTTTTAATTAGACGTTTCTAATATATGAAAGTTTATATAATTTTTTATAAAATAATTTTTCACCACCTCAATGTTTATATTGATATAAATGTTATTTATTAACTGTACTCACACTCAATGGACTTACTTCTGTATATGATTAGCCAGATTAGATTAGATACGTCTTACGTATTTTATATTACCTGTATGCTTCTGTTATATGATACAATAAAATAGCTGAATTCAAGCAAATAATTAAAAAAAAATGGTTAATTTTTAATGACTATATAATACTAACTATGCCTGCGATTTACAGTATAGTAGTATGAAGTACAGTATCTAAAATATAGATTAAATTATGACAATTTGATATTGAATATCATAAATCAAGAATTAAGTGTGTTTACCAGTTAATACTAATAATAATCTCAGGAGAATTCACACAGCGCCATCTAGCTAAAGCTTGCATTAGCTAAAGCTTCCATTGCTTAGTACTAGACAACAGATACAAATACATAGATACATTTTTTTTCCGTAAAAACATAGAAATTATACATAGAAAACACCCAGACCGCTACAAACAATACTCATGAATACAAATGTTTGTACCGTGCGAGGAATCGAACATACGAACATTGGAAGTAAGGCGATGTGCTAACACGTTAGACCACTGAGGTCGTCAAATTAATTAAACTTAATTCTTTTAACTAATAATTAAATTAAATGAATAATATTATTTTAAAAATTATTCTTATTCAGATATGTCTTCGCGATCTGCTTCTTCCAGGTTTGATAAAGGAATATGAAATTAAAACAATCCATCGAATCCAAATTAAACTTTAATACTCTCTTCAACGTCTACAGATTGAGAATTTTGATCAAGTATCGTCTATTAATAAGTTAAGTGCAACTGTTTAGATACACAATCAAACCTTCCATACAATTGTATCAAATACTGTTTTATTGCTCTTTATTATCACTACAACGCGAAATTGCATTACATTATGTGTTCATCATATTCTTACATTATTCGTACTTATAATAAACTTTAAAACCATATCCGATTCAGGTGCTTCATCTACAAACTGTCTGTTAATTGTTTTGCATAATAAATATATAAATTCTCAGTAATTCTTGTCTTCTGCCATAGGCGATGGCGGTGAACAAAATAAATAGTTTCATATAGGTATATAATTGTACAAAATTTATAATTATATACCTATATATTTACAAATTATATTTGCAATTGATAATGTACGAATTGGTGCATTAGTTTGTAATATATTATTAGAACGCTATAGTAAGTACCTACTTATTGTTAATATTAAGATGAATTAAGATTACGTCGGTATAATCGGCTTTTTACGTGGTTGTCTGCAGTGTTTTTGACATTGAGTTTTTCTATGTGTTCATATAATAGTATATTGATGTACACAACAAGGAGTATGGAGGTATACAACAAGGTTTCTTTATCTGTGATATGAATGTAAAACTATGGAAAATCCAGCGCTTAGCACAAAGATAAACAAACAACATAACTACAGACTCCAGATAATACTTGCTAATGTCTAAACACTGCTACAGTACAAGAAATTATAAGTATTTGAAGAACATATAATATGTCTAAAAATATGAAAAAAGATGAATGTAAAAAGTGGCACTTTTGCGGACTTGACTTTATTATACCTATCCTATGAGTATAATAACCATAATCGTATAAAGTCGAGATTAAGTATATTATGTCACAAAACTACAGCGTAGCTTTGATGTTTGATAAATTATCAAGAAAATAGCTTAATTTTAGTAACAACCTATTACATTTGTAAGGTGTTTTATTTTATACGTTTATATAGCAATCATAGAAAATAAACAGTTCCATTTTTTTTAATGTACTAAGAATTTAGTAGATAATGCATAAAAACATTATAATATTTGTCAGTAGTTATATTGGGTGGTGCGAATAATATTTAAAAATATAATATGGAAGCGTTTTCTTATATACCCAAAAACCTAGTTAACTATTTGGTTTGTTAATTGTAACAACTTGATACAAACAACTATCTTACAAATGAACCTCCTTGACCTTATTACATATATATATAAAAACTACTGTAAACAATTTATATTTAGGCAAGTACTTAAACCGTTTCAAGTTAAGAAGTTCAATGAAAATATTACTTTTAAGGATTACAATGAAAATCACGTACTGTATTTCAACGTTTCAAATTAATTTCGATTTTTTCATGCAATTTCACAAAAATATATTGTTTTATGTTAGATATTTGCAACACGGTGAAAACATATATCTTTCCAAAAATATATAAAGTAATGTTTGCAAATAATAATAGTTGTATTTAATGTTACCGAGCGTTAAACATGGAGGTCATTTCACAGCACGCAGATATGAAAAGATACTTTTCGATAATCGTAAATAGTAAAAAACCTCAAGTACACTTCGTTTCATCTAATTACTACTTTATTTATATTAAATGAATATTTAAAACAATAGAATTTTGACAAAAGTAGATACGTTTGTCTTTAAAACAGATGCCTTATAAAATTTAACAATTTCCTCGTATAAAATACGTGCTCGGTGGACAAGATGGCTACTTTTGTCAAATTTCTGAACAATTGTCTTCTATTTATTGCTCGTAATCTATCTAACTAGTGTAACTACGGTTAGCTTTATCGAGTAATACTAATGGAAAGTTTTTGAAGAGTATATTATAATTTGTTACAAATTGAATTTGGGAATTGCATGCCTTGTTATTGAAGCTGTGAAGCACACAACAACGAGAATATAAAAATACTAGCGATCCGACCCGGCATGGCACGGGTGTAATTATTGTAGAGTACTCTAATATTTTCGAAAATAAAATACAGTACATGCTACTTGCGGAAATAATATTATTTACAAAATAAATTATCTGTACATAAGTAGTACCACCAGTGTGTGTGGTACCTGTGCTAAGTAAGAATTTGCAAATCGCGTGATACAAATGCAACTGAAATTACCCGAAATCTTATTACTCCCTTGATAATTAGATATAAATGAATATGTAATCATTGTTCAAAAAAATAATAATCGAAATGCACCATTACATGAAGCAGCAATTAAAACATTAAGTGTATAGTGTTGTTTTATTTAAAGCTTGTCATATTATCTAAGAATATTCTAAAAGGGACAGTTTCAAACAGGAGATAGTTATTCATTTAATTAGAATCTACACTTATATCTACCTACTTTGAGAATTTTAAATGTTTCATTGCTTTCAATCAAATAATATATCAATAAATTGTACTCGGAAAATGTATTATTTATCACTACTTATTATTAAATACGGAACGCTATCTAAGTCAACAACCTATTATTTAAAAAGTATTTATTAAATTATAATCCACGCTCTCACTCATATATATGAGTGGTATACTCACCGCACTTAAATTTAAAAATATGTCAGATGCTAAGAACCACTGAACAGAGAAATAAGTGAGAACTTACTTCTTCGTTCTGTAATAAGGACAATCACTAAAGCAGTCTGATAATTTTGTTCATTCTACGCTACTAGAAGGCTGTACTGAGCGTTATGTAACCCTTACAAGTGAGATTTAGCCCCCCTATGGGGCGTGGGCCTCACGTTGTGAAACACTGCTCTAAATGTATGCGAGAGAATGAAATCGTAGAACAACCTATAACAGGCTTGCATGTCTACGGACCTAGCATTTGTCACATCTCATTTAGTGTAACTTTACTATCAAGTTCACGCTCTGTTATATATACTTGTACTTAGCACACTCGGTATCATGCTGTACACATTACAAAATATTTTAGATTATGAGTTGCACGTATGTTTATTTAACATTTCTCTTTGGAAATGTGACTAAAATTGGAGGACACAAATTATATTGATGTTAGTTATTATAATACATAGGCCATTGATATTGTCAACTAACGTAAACATAAATATCTGTGATGTATTTTTTTGTAAATAAATTCTTACTACGCAGTAATTCCTCCTGGAGATCAGAGCAAACCTTTAAAAATTCACTAGCAACAGAATATACTACAAAACATTAGTCTGGCATGATAAACTCAACGTATTTTTTCAGTTATCACCAATTTTATAAAATAACATTACTAATAATTTGTTAACAGTCATCCAAAACATTATTTTTGTCTAAAAATGCCGTGTTAAAGTGGCGCATTAATATTAATTAAGAATTCTATAAATATTCTAATAATAAAAGTTAATTAGTATTTTTAGTAGAATACTTAAGTGCACCTCGCACTTTGTACGTGCTATAACTACTACCTATTCCCTAATATTTTTACTACATTGTATTCAAATCACCCGTTTCGATTATTACCTATCACAGGTGCATCATTGCGCTAAAGATTATTAGATGTGGTCAGCAGATTTTGTAGTTAAAATGGGCAGATTTTCTAGATACTTAGAATCTTCTTGAGACTTCCGTCTTCACAAGACTATTAAGGATAATTTTATATTAAGGATCCATGTAGCCAATAAACCTTCGATTACAAAAAAGTCATACCTCGACACGAAAATAAGTCCTATCGAATGTAAAAATAATCATAAAAATCATTCGATGATTTTTATGATTATTTTTACATTTGATAGGATTTATTTTCGTGCTTATCCCGATTAATTTTATTACCATTGAAGTATTTATTTTTTAACAAAATGTTATGATTCTATAATGATGGTTGCGTGAAGATATGTTTCTTAAAAGTTATGTAGGTATTATAAATGCGTATTATAGGTTAGTTGAAATATATTTTGTGATGAGAGAAACAAACATAGTTACAGACCAGTACTGAACACATATTTTAATGAATATAAAAAAAATATTATAAGTAGCATATTAGGTGTAGTAAAAAAATTTCTTCAGACCTATTAACAGATGAATAATCTATTCCATTATGTATTATATATATTTTAATGTTAATAGCGATACATATCGTTAAAATGTTAGTAGAAATTGAACAAGAATAAAATTTACTGATTATAAATAAATAGCCTTTAATTAAGGGTCCAGAGAGAAATAGTATTGGGTGATGATTTGATGAGGTTACGAATATTGATCTATTTAAATTGTATGTCTTTCATTATTAATGTCTGACTGACATCGTTCTGACATTGTGCCATTTGTAATATTGGATTTTCGAAAAATAAATCATTACATAGTAACTCATAAAGTTATTTAGCTACCGCTTATTTAAACCGATAAGTAATTGTCAGCTATAATGGTATTGTATGAAAAAGTATCTAGACGGCTCGTTAAATCTATATACTGTAATCTGATATTAGGTACTTATTATTTAAAGTAGAAGCATGCTTAGCATAATTCTTTCACGCCTGCAAAGTTCAAGATTCAAGCAATGACACTAAAATGGAAGGACAGGATTGAATTATCCAATGACAATTTGACAAAACTTCTCTAAGCACGTGCATTCTCAGTTTCTACTTCTAAATTCATAACCATTACCATTTTGATCTTTTACTTAAAATATTTCTAAGAAAACGCGATATTCAAAAATTCTTAATTATGTAGTTACTATTCACAATTACTATTTTAATATTGATGTATTTACCACAGCATTTATTGTATAATTGTTTTTTTATTAATAGCTTACATCATTTTAATTTTACAACATTTAAATTTCCGCAACTAAAAATGAAAACAATATAGTATAAAACGTTACTTTTTTGTGTTGTATATGTATACTTGTACATGTGTATACTTATTAATCATAAATTGCTTAATGATATAGAATATGTTTTTACAAGTTGTTCTAAAATATAATTTACTTTGGTGATGCAAATTATAATTTAACATTTTGTAACATAAAACACATTCAAATAGTCGGTTCAATATTGGCATTATCCTCATGAATGAATATCGGACCTGTCACTATTGTCTTCAAGCATATTCACGTCCATTCATTCCTACTACCTACTCGTACTTACTACTTATTTTCTATTAGGTACTTTAATCTGTTGTTAAGTTTTTTATCATTATTGCGATATTTAAACAGTGCCGGCAAAAGTAAAACTTTTCGTGTTTTATGTGTTTCACTCTCATGAATTTATTATTTCAAGTATAATGTGCAATTATTATAAATCATGCATTTATATAACAGAGAGATTTCGTTATAGACATAACTAGCAATGTTGCAGTTTTGAAATGACAATAACAGTTGGGTGAGTGTTTAGTGCATTAGATGTGGGGTGTTGATGAATACTGAAGGTACGTAGGCGGGGGTGAACAGCTGTTAAAGTGGGGCTGGACGCCGTCAAAGCTGACGTAGCGGTGCGCGGCAGTCCACGCTCGACATCCACGCCAAATCTAGAGTTGTAACCTGAAATTTATTCAATAATAATTCATGACATGTTTATTTATTCGTTCATGTACATTTTTTTAAAAGTAAAAATTGCAGTAAATAAGGTATAGAAGAACACGAACGATTAAGGTGAGTGTGAACGACCTACGTGGTCGTCAAAGAACTCTTTAAAGTTATACCCGGGTCAACAAGTCTCGGGGATCGAGAACTGCTCGGAGTTTCCCTCTCTGTCACACAAAGGAACCCGGTTTCCACACGGTGCATCCATGGAATGCATTGAATTATTGAAGTTAATAGGGTACATCCCTATTAACTTCAATAATTCAATGAAAGATCTTATTTTCCTGATTTTTTAGATATTTCTTAGTAATATGTTATCTGTGGTAATATTACGTAGCCCTAACAAATATTATTTCGAATAAAACAAATAATACGTATGTTTCTATCTCTCTTTTCTTGGTTGACTCTGTATTATGAATGAGCAGTACAATAAAAAACAAAGAAAACCATTCAAGTTTATTTGAAAAAATATTATTTATATTCTACTATATTGTACAATTAAATGTAGTAGTTATAATCGATATTTGAAACTCTGGAAAACCATGAGAATATGAGGTATTAGAGTCCATGATCACAAAGATTTGAAGATAGGGTTTTCAATATGTTAGAAGGCAGATAAATTTATTAAAAGGGTTGATAGGTGATTCGATGGAAGAGCAGACGTTATAAAAGAGATTGAATTCACGCCCAGTACGTAAAGACTTGATATAAATAGGCGCGGGTCCCATATACAGCTATTTGGTGTTTAATGGGCTGACTTTATTGTTTCTTAATGGATCTGCCTAAATTTAAGTTTAAATTTATGTTACATTACCATTTATGGTTCATTTACTGATATTTAAACGTTATGATCATTTGTAAAAGGTACGAGATGTAGAGTTAGAATATTATTAATTTCTTATGTAATTTACAATGAGTGGTAGCAGACGTTAATGGACAGAATAGTTATGAACTTATAAATATAAAAGATAGAGACTTATAATTCATATACAAAACAATTTGTAAGTACAATATACAACAATGATGAGCATACTTTTCATATGAATAAAATATGACATGACTTTGTAATTTATTCAAGATTGCATTTACTGTCCGAGCGTTTAATGGCTACCTATGTATTTTACAGCTTGCATTTACCTGATATAATATTAATTTATGTGTAAGACATCATTATTCCATGTACCTAGTTATAAAAGATTTTCTAGCTTATCTATGTAGTTAACTATGACATTGATGTTACAATTGCAACTTCTTCAGTGATCAACACAAATTTGATAGTGACAAACAATTATTTATTTTTAAGCAAAATTGTATTTCATTAATTAAACAACAAACTTTTATTAACTTCATTACCATATATAATAGCGCAATAACAAAAAAACAATATATTTGGTGGAAAAAATAATAGAAGATATTTAAATTAATGGAATAGTTTAAAATAGTGGAAGTATGAACAAAGTGGTTTATTCAAATAATTTACTTAATTAGTAATTGATCGTCATTCTCAGTAACATAAAAAAGTTTGCATGATCATTACCAGATGGCTCTGCCTTTCCTTTCTAATTTTTATATTTGTACCCAACTCACAAGTTTTTTTTAGTCTCAATTCACCGATTCGAAATTTAAATATTCCACGACATAATTTCTAGCAATTTAAAGTTCCCTCCGCGTCAAATTCCCCAAACATGTATGTATTATTTTGTTGCAAAAAACCCTTCAACTTTGGGAGGATTTTCCTCAATCCGGCAAAATTAATAATGAATAAAATGATACCTGATGCATGGAGTAGACAGCAAGCACAACCAGAACGTGCATGATGTTGTGCGAGTTGAGGCAGCGATCCACGGTGCCTGGGAACCACTTCTCCGGAATGTGCATTGCACCGATCACTCCACCACCCAAGGACACTGCGTCCTGGAACGGCAAATGCCAAAGTAAATTAATAATTGAAACTATTAACCTACGAAATTACAGGATAAGGGGCATGACAGCTTAGAACTCTGGAATGACAACGCATGAGTTGTTTCACGGTTGGTGTCACGTGATAACGTGATGTCCGTGATGCTATTATATGCATATAGGTGACAGGGTGTCGTTTGCTATCAGATGAGCCGGCAGCCGAGTTGTCATTCCGATTACACAGAAAAGAGGGAAGTTATGGAAGTAACAAATTTGATTACCTTCTAAAGTTAAATAGTTCTTGGGATTATTTTAATACACAATATGCTCTATTTTGTGTTCATGGACCCCGTAGACCTATAAAAGAGTTCTACAGAAAACTCATCATAGAGCGGAGTGCGAAGCGCGGAGCGTTCTTAGAGATCAGATTTGCACTCTTTGTAACGTTACTTCTCCGAAACGGCTTGACCGATTGAGACCAAAATTTTAACAAGGTCGAGTTTTTAAAAATAAACGCACTTCGCTCAACATGTGACCTAGTTTGTAAAATAAACTGTAAAAAACCTAGTTAAGATTAATTATGGAACTCGATTGATTACAATTCCAATATTGAAAATACCTGTTCTCTTTGGTAGTTTGGATATTACAAATGTGTCATAGTATAGGTATATATTATTTTTTTATTCACAGCAAAGTTTCCTCTTATTTCCAGTTTAATATAAAGGCATTTGCAATGTTCTTTGCGGTATTATGAACGCAATGTCGACTGATATTGCATAGAAAATATGCACATGTCTAAAAAGGTGTAATGATACCCACGATGTGCATAGATGTCAGGTAATAAACAGAATAATAATAAATAATTAATACAGTTATACTATTTAAAATACTCAAAGAAGAAATATTTCTTTATAATTGCTAGTGTATTTGAAATTGCGCTACTCTATATTCGGACGAAAGTCAGTACGGGCAACTTTCCAGCAGAGTACAATATATGGGAGGGATAAGGAGATGAATAGATAGCAGTAGATAAGAGAGTAAGACTTGTGTTAAGGGATGCCTTCCGAAATGGATCAGCCTTCCCAGTTTTACTACTACCTCCACCATTTCCCGTCTTCCTATCCAATCCTATACAATATTATTGTTATTATATATTGAGACTAAGGTGTTTTCTAAAAGCAGTACTGAAATTTCTGATATTGCTTAATCGGGTTCTCGCGAGCAAAGACGGTCACAGTAAGAATTCCTATAGTTCAGAAGATCTGTCTCGAAATTCCTAAACCAACAGGACACAACGTGAACAGTTGCGAAATATGAATATGTTTAAAATGTAATACGATACTACGTTTCAATTTCTAACTACAGCGGTTTATGCTTTGCGTTGATTGGAAAATTTCTTAGTAAAACAAATCTCTTTATATGTATACAAGCAATTTTGCAATATAACAATATAATATAACAATAATGAATATAAGCATGTCGACTTATGAAATCAAGCTAATTTATTAACAACAATATTTTATTTTTGAATCAAATTTATATTACAAATAGATCTGAGATGTCGAGTTTGGATGAGGAAACAAAGGCTTTGTTTGGTATCTATAAGAAAAGGTTTCAAATAGGAAAACGTTTTATTATGGCACGATAGCGAGATATTTCTTAATAGGTTGCCAATTATATAAATACATATAACAACAGTGTTTCTGCATTTTAATAACTCGGTGTAGGGTTTAAAGACAAAGTAACAGTTCGCTAATAGTGTCGGTATAAGAACCAAAGAATTCACCGTTTATTTGCATTTTAACTAATCGTAAATGCATAATTCCATAACAAATAACTTCAATCATGATGAATCATGATCTATATAATTTCTTTATGTATGATAAATCTACGATGATGACATTCTTGGAGGTACCTATTAAACACAAATATATATATGAATACAAGCTGTTACTCGCGACTTTGTATGCTTTTTTTATATTAGTAAGTCTATGTTTGTCCTCTAGAAATTTATCTTCATATATCTTCTATCTATTAAAAACAAATTTCATTCAGATCCATTTTAGTTTATTCGTGAAATAGTAAAAAAATGTAGATACGCTTAAAATATGAGTATCGGTTATAAACATATTACATATCAACTCGTATATATATACAAAATGATTGCAATTTTAATTTTTAATTACTATTATAGTTTAGTTTCATTTATTCTTTAATGCAGAATATAACTTGTACAAAGGCGAGCTTAATGCCGTATTAATTCATTCAGGCATTCTCCACCAGCTAACATTTAGGTATACAGAAAGCGTTGTGGGGTAGTTATGTCGAAATACAATCACAAAGTCACTAATAAACATTTTATAATATATATGGAATGCAAATAAATATATACACATATTAATATATATAGTACCTAATATTATATGTACTTAGTGTATAATACTTATATAATATCATACTGAATAAATAAATACATTTATGCTAAATATAGATAAATATAATACTAATACAATGCAATACAGTTATAACTCATGTTGGTGACTCAAGAGAAAATTAAATACTCTAAGTTTACTCTAGTATCTAGTTGCTATGATATCGTATATAGGCGTACCCGAGGTTTATACTGTTAGTCTGGGGTGGCAAACACGTTTCACACATGTAGAGCGCATGGGGAGGTGCACTAATTGCGCATTTATGCAAGGAATAGCACGGCAGTTCTCGCCTGCTGTGTACTTTACCGTATGGGCATTCATTATTCACTTGCACTTAATCCTGTTGAATAGTACTATACTGTAAGCTACAAATGTGAAACATTGTAAAGCATTTGAATAGGTCGGTTTATGAAAAAATTTTATGAAAATAGAGTTGAGCAGAATCTAATCAAATATTGTTTTCTGACGATTTCGGCTCTTTAGAACTGTAAATAAGTTTAAATATTTTTTTTATAAAAAGTTTAGGTATTTATGTATTTATTACTTTTGGGTAAAACTGAAATACTTAAATAACTAAGGTTAAGTTGCGGTTTTAGTTACGAAACCAATTTTTTCGATTGGATACTAGTATCAGGTTTAGTTTTAGGTATAGCAGTACATATCAGTTCAATTTAAATGTATCGATTATAAACATATATATAAACATATCACCTTTTATAATAAATGTTTCCAGCGTAGAGTATGTTTTTTACACTAAGTATATTGCAATGGCAACTTGCCAGCTGATAGCAGTATTGTATTGGATCCAATACACGTAACTTACACCCCAGTATAATGGGTTTTAATCCCAGTAACGAGTGTGTATTGATTGGGCAACAACTGAAGCTTGTGTTCTGAACTGTGGATTTATTACTTCTATAAATTATTTTCTAAAAGTTAAATATTGAGAAAATAAAATAATAAAATTTTATTAATGTAATTAAAAATTTAATTAAATTTTAGTTTCGATAGGATCCGTTGATGACATAACTTTATTGTTTATTTGCAATAATACACCGACAAATGTATTTCCAACGATAACAATTAATTTCATGTATCTGATACTTTTAAATTTCACATTTTAATAATATATATATATACATATAGAATATTATCGTTACTTAACATTCTGAGCCTTCTCTATTTGTGCTATTCTTCACTACCAAATAGCAAAACCAAATAAAAAAAACCGAACCCAATAAACTCTTACAAAATTTGTTTGAAAAGAGCACCATCTAAGTTTCTTTTCTATATCTACTCCTCAGCGGAATCTGAATTATTCGAATGGGTCAGTACAATTAAAATAACTATTCAAAAGTGCTTACATTAAGTGTTGAAATCAATACCTAAATACTGCTTTTATTCTACTCTAGATAACAACCGAAATTATTAACAAAGCATTAGTTTTATGGTTATTGTATGTTATAGGCATCCAAGAGCTTTCCGATGGACCTCACTGGCATCCGTACTTCGCGCTCGTTAGGCGAGGTGCCAACTCATACCCGTAACATTGTTCATGTATGCAGCACTGGAAACTACTGTCTTACATAATATAGTTACAATCTGTAGGTCACAATACTTAACTGGTTTGGGGGAGGGGTGAAGTGTTAGTAATGGAGAGTATGATTTCTGGCAATGTACCATTTCTCTATTAGATCTTCCTTTATGCAGTCCTAGTGGATACTATCGTGATTAAAACTTTATATTAGCCACTATACCCTCTACCTGTTTTCAGGCTAATCTATACTAATATTATAAAAAGGTAAAGATTGTATGTTGTTTGTTCGGAGTAATATCCGTTTCTGCTGATCCGATTTTAGAAATTCTTTCACTGTTAGAAAGTTTTATCATACCCGAGTGCTATATGCTATATAACATTGCGCTACGACAAATAGGAGCGGTTCAGCAATGAAAAATGTGGCAAAAAATATTAATTTTGAGTGTTTCCGATGCGTTCGCTGTGTAAACGGTTAAAGTTACGCAAAAAAAATATGTATGATGGAATTGTTCTCCTTTAAAAGTCCGGGACAACATACGTCCTTCCATTTCATCTAAATTAAATTTCTTTTAAAATAATGCATTGATTGATGAAAGTGTTTTCATAAACATGATATCCTTATCCAAATAAAAACGAAGTAGAATATAGTGTCGAATAATTTAAAAGTTAAACAAATATTAGTCCCCAGGGTGGGTCGTTAGTACTTATGTATTTCACTAGTGGGTCGCCAGTGTATACCCGTTACTGCAGGACACTGCACGGTTACGTAGTCAGCCATACATAAAATATCCATCTTCATCAGCTACAGAATCAGAGAAGTTTTGGACAAGCCATTTCAGAGTACACTTTTAGCACTTTGTATTGTCATAAACATTTATCTTATTATTTTGGCACATTGCCAAAATACTTATCCGTTATTCATTTCAGAAATAGGTTAGTATTTTTCTCGTAACTCTCTTAACAGGTGTCGTATAGATTGGGTCACAGTGTATATAATACTTTGTGAATAAATATAATAATGAATGATGAAAAATAATAACTTTTAAAAATTGATTAATAATGAAAAATTAAAAATGAATAGCCTGCTCTCAAATCTAGTTTCTTTGTTTCTTGTGTATAACTGCAATCTGGAAGATTATATGGCAATTATAATCTATAATGTTATCAAATCTTTATTGAACAATACTGACTGAAAAATGTAAAGTAATATAATAAAGAGGATGTAATTTATTTTTGGTTTGTAATGGATAAATACAAAAGTTCTTAATGGTTTTAAATAAAATTGTCTATAACAAAGACATTAGAAATCTTGTCAATAATTAAGTATTGTAGTGCGAAGACGGGGTGGGTGGCAGTAATTGTTATTCTACTTAGGTATTCTGATTCGTATTAGCACTTTGTCTGCTTTGTTTTTTATTTGTGGGTACAAAATTGAATATTCTGTGCTTACGCCTAATAAAAATATAATATATGTCAAGTCAATAATAACATGTTTGTCTCATAATGTGTTTCATTGTTGAACAGTCTTTGTACATGGTACTACACAGTGGAGGGGAGAGAGTGCTTACCTGAAGGAAGACGTGCAGTATTGCATGAGGGTCACCGCCTCCGAGACGGGCCGCACGGGCGCCAGCTAGCAGCAGCCGCATGCAGAAGGGCGCCGCGAAGCACAGCCGCCGTTCCCAGGGTGACCACGCCCGCATTGCCTGTATGAGAAATGAACATATAAAAAGACCTACCACGTAGATCCAGACTTAAAGATCTGCTACTATACGACGCTTAAATAAAACATTTTACTAATATAAAAATAACGCATGTTAAGAATTATAAAAATATATTGAAAATACGTATATTGCATTTAGTATTTTAAATATAAAATAAGAAACTATCATGGATTTGAATTAAAAAAACAAAGTATGTGCATTCTCTATACAAAAATATATTGTAAACTAAAATTCACATCTCTGGTTGTAGGTGTAAGAGATAGAGTTTGAAAAATGGCGCCTGCATGGATACATCTGTCTAAATATTTCAGCTGCCAAACAACTTGCTATGTAAGGTGATGAGACTAAGATGTCATGCTTCTTGTCCTATAAATTCACTGTATCACAGACAGTAAAATTACAGGACAAGAGGCATGATATTTCAATCCTTTGGAAAGGCAACGCATTAATGGTATTACGAGCGACAGATAATTTGATGACCGTAGCGCTTTTCATATATATGAAAGAAGCTGATGGACCACATCATACCATATCATGGCAAGGTCTGGTTAGATTGTTTATATTGTCACAACCGTATGGGTTAGTCAGAGGCCTTGTACACTGCAACGTCATGGCGAGCGCGACACTTGACATGTCATCTTCCGCTTGGTATAATTGTTATATATAAATACATTACTACGTTAGTTACGTGGTTATGTATCAGCAAGTGTATGAGCCATCGAAAGAATCAGTTTTTTTTAACATCATTGTTTAATAATTGGAGAGACAGTCAGAAATATAAATATCGGTGTTGATCAGAACGAAGTTAGAACCTTCGGCTTCAAGGCCTTTTAGTACTTACCTTATATAGGCCGATGAGACTGCCGAGGCAGTAAACCGCTAGAGCAGTGTACCTCAACAGTGCTGGGGCACAGTACACCGTGGCCGTCACCATTGGGATAGCTCCTGAGAACAATACATATAAATCTTTCATTTATATTGAAAAAATATATTGAGACTACACCCTAATCTTTGGAAATACGATGACCATTGCCGTGTCATATCTATGATTATGTGATTACATTTACACGATGTTTTTTTAATAGATGATTAATTTAAAGTTGCCTACTTACTAGTTAGTACTATAGTATATTAGTTACCTACTATACGCTTGTGGAAGATATCAGTGGAGGATGATAGAAATTGGATGGAGTCAGATAAGTTAGCATATTTTGGAGAATTTCCACTTTAGTTTCTTAAGGGAACCTTATAGTGATCGATTAGGCAGGGCATATTGCGAACTAATTGGTCTAATATTTACCATAACTGACCCTTCTAGATGGTTTTTATAACTTCCCACCTGGTCAGGGTTTTTACCGCTCCGTGTAATATGAATTAAAATTTACCAACCGAGCCGCATTGTTCCGAGTTTTACGCTAGTTGTTAGAGCAGTCCAGTAAATACAAATACATTCCAGTGATAAATCGGATTGAAAACCACCACGCTGAGAGGGAAGGAATTGTTGAAAGTGGCTTAATTGCAAGCAATGTATCACTCAGTTCTCCCTGGAAACTGTTGTGATTAATTCCTGCTGAATACGACGCAGTGGGCTGACTAACTTGACTTCATTTTCATCGCATGGTGTTCCAATGCTGACTCGCCAGCGTATGCACTATACTATACTACTACATTATCTATTAGAAAAAACTTTTGAAATCAGCTAAAATATTTGCAGCGCCTGAACATACTCCGATTATGATTAGCTTACCGATCAGATATCTGCAAATCTGGGAGTGAATCTGCAGATTTTCATTGGATGCGGACGAAATTCGAGTCATTACCGAGATTAAGCTGCCAATACGCACACAAATGTGTCATGATAAATATGTTTTTAACGATGCTGGCCTCCATGGGGAAATTATGAATTTATTCACGCGCGCCACTTGGAGACATTTGTATCGTACAATATTTGCATTATATGGAGAAGAAGTGGAATAATAAACCTAACAATAATATTCCCTTAAAATCCGATTAATAGAATATTCTTTTAGAACCAACACAATACGTACTCTGTTTGCCTTTTATAGACTACAAATTTCTGGGCCCATTTTATATGTGATATAAAAAAGTACTTGAAGTATTTATATTCTGTATTAATTAAAAGAAACATACTATGAATTAAATACATAAATAAAAATTACTTACAAGAAAGACATTTTATAATTATAATTAAACTATGTAGATGTATGTATGTAAACGTAATATCTCCTTTGGTAAGTATACACTCAGGATAGAGATCCTAGATGAAACTTTGAATGAGGTCGAGCACAATAGATCTATACAGGTCGCAGTGTTACAGGTCTGACAATAGCTCAAACCCCCAATAAATAAAAATAGGTACTGTATATAAATTATAACAATTTTAGAGGGAAATAAAAATGTTTATTGACTTCTATTACTACAGTAATTATTCTATTCGCTTTTTTATGCGGTGTTATTTCATATTCAAAGCAACCTTTTGATTATTTTTCCGCTAATGAATCACGGTAAAGCATAAAGGAATATGTTAATTGTAGGGTTTTGTAGATATAATACATTAAAAATCTAGAGGCCTACGACAAACGTACTCGTACTTGGTTGGTAATAAACCGTTTGTAGTAAAGAAATCATTAGGAAATTTTAATGCGAAATAATAAAATGTCTAGTTATTAATATTTAATACACCCCAACGTTTTATATATTGAAATAAAATTATTAATATGACGTGAAGTAAGTATGGTGCCATATTCCATTAGTTTCAATCCCCGGTGTTCTACAGGTTCTAATATTTGGACAGATCTAATAAAATATACTTTTTGTACTATTGAATATTATGTTATTTTTATATATATTCAGTGGTTACAGAGTAGGAATCAGGAACATTATCACTCTTTTTTAAAAAATCATCAGAATTTTATAAATGTCAATTATAACAATAAAGCATCTTGTCAGTGCAAAGGACATAACTGAATATATCAAAACAAATTAAATCAAAAATATTTATTCACGTAGGATATTTTAACCTCATGTAGGATTTTTAGATTTTTATAAATGTCAAGTTTTTTGTATTTTTCCCTACCATCCAGTTTATTACATACATATTATATATATACAGATTCAATTGAAAAAACTGGCAAGAAATTCAACTGTATTGAACTCAACATGGGAATGACAATATGTTGTAAAGAATATATTAAAAACTATTCAAGTTACATGAACATAAATAGAGTAATAGATAATATTATTATGAGATACTAGCTTCTAATCATCATCATTTCCGCCCGTCCACTGCTGAATAAAGGCCTCCCCCAAAAATCTCCACGACGATCGGTCCTGTGCTGCTCGCAAGCTTCTAGTAGTGATGTTAATTTAAATACAGAACATAGTGTTCAGAAAATATATTTTTAAATAACAGTAGAGGTGAACTTTGTGGCTGGAAAGGTCAAGGGTGGTATATATAATTTTCAGTCTTATCAGAACAAATATGTCCCCTTCCGGTAATGAAGATTCCGTGCGCGCAGTCCCAGATATGAAGTTTACTGCAGGCGTTATTGTAGTATGACATAACTTTTGCTGTTTATATTTTACTGTACACTTAAATGTATTCCAGACTAGTATAGACCGTGAGTTCGTACTCATATAACTTTTTTGTTTGTAAGCCGATTGAAATAAAATAAACACTATTTAAAAAGTGAAGCTCACAATAATGTATCAGTGGAAGCCGCACTCGAATCGGCTAAGCCTTTTCTGAGCAAGCAAGCACAAATCACAGACAAGTATGTATACAAATGTTAGTACCGTGTGTGGAATTGAACACTGGACTGGAAGTAAAGAGTTTCTCTAAACTGCTAGACCACCAAGGCCGTCATTTGTATAAATAGACTTAGATTTAAATATGTTGGTGTTTAGATAGCGATACATATCATCCTTTTTTGGGGTTCTGTATCCTGTTACTTTGTCTAATGAACCATTTTAATGGAACCCTAAAGGTTAACATAACACCGAATTTCACGTGATACTAAAATTATTATTGCGTCGTAATTGTGCCATAAGTAAAGAAGCAGTAAGCACGCGTGGTTGTATTGCGAATATAAGATATTTAGTGCAATTTCTATAATACAAACAACATAGTAAGTAGTAGGAATATATTCGTATGTAAATCTGGCAACACATAGAGAGTAATATTAATTAATAAATAATATAACAAAATTTTATATTAACATGTACATACCTACTTCTTTACAATTAGCTTCTGTCCGCGAAAGCGTGACGAACTAATATAAAAAGTAGCCTTAATTCCTTCTCTATTTAGAACTATATTTGTTTTATGATTGTTCAAGGCGTAAAAGCGTAACATATTCATTTATAATGTTAGATAAGATTTTCAGTAATATGTCGCTGTTCCAGTACAAATATGAATACATACGAATTAATAAACGTAACGTAGTCTGAAGATCAGTGTCTCAAGAGTTAGCTTAGTTATTTAATGGATGATAATTGTGCTCCCGCCTGCGCTAAAGGTTTACGCTGGGCACCAGTGGAGGTTGATAATATGAATAAGGTCAGGTCAGTTAGCCCATAATGATCGAAGCACCAGGAATTTGTCAGAATGATTTCCAGGGGTAGCCGCGTGGAGGTCAACCTGACATGGCACATTGCTATGGAATGGGTTCATGAATCCACATACTAATAATCCCATACCCCCCCCAGAGAGGCAAAAGGAATATGTTTTACACCTGTTAACTACCATCTGTGTCGGCTAATCTAAGTAAACATATTATGACATACAGTAGAGTTGACTTAGTTCCTGTAATTAGACCGCATATTTAACTTTTAACGTAAAGGTAACGTATTATTTAACTATTTGATCGAAGTTATACACAAGAGGTACTATCGAAATAATTCTTCAGAAAAAACTAGCAGTTATTCTTGATTTCGGCTGCTTTTAACAGATAAAAGATGACTTATGTTCATTCTCTAATTAACTCTGAAACAATTTATCTTCATATCATATTTCTTTAAGATCCCTTTCAGTCTTGAAAACTTAATAAACAGGCACAAACTTGCAATTATAATATTATTAATAATAATATGGATGATTTATAGATTGTTTACATGTATAGCTTCAAATGTATAATAAATTTGTGTTTAGCGCCTGAAAGATAATCTCAGCTTTGAAGTGGGCGTAAAGTGGCAACTCCAAGTCAAGTCGTACTTACAGTCAATCGAAGATTCTTGAGTTCTTGAGTTCGTTCGAAAACATAATGTGTATATAAATATTGTAACAGGAAGGTAATAAAATACTACTTAACTACTTAGATAATATATGATTTACGTTTTATTTACGTAATAATATTTATGAAATTGTAACTTAAAGAGATTCTTCCCCGCTTTTTAAAATTATTTTGTAACACCATGTGATGTTTTTCGTCATGATTACTGTTTTTACTGTAGACTAGCAAAATGTATCCATATGTCACGTTATAAAGTGACAAAAGTAGAGAATGCCATATGGCATTAAGCTCGCCAAATTGTACAATTTTTAAAAGTGCAATAAAGAATAAATAAAAAAAAAATGTAAACTCAGTATTGGAGATTGTTCAGAGAACAGAAACATTGATTTTCAGTCATATTACGTTTGTGAATATTTCAGCCCGGTTGCCATTTTTATTACACTTTTTTAATGTTATTGAATAATATAAATCATCGTTAATAGATTACAGACGTACAATACTTTATTATAAGTACAATTCTGAATACGGCGACGGTGATCTAGCGGTTTAACTTACCGCTTCACTTCCGATGATCACGGGTTCGATTCCTCGATATAATATAATAATTTTATAAAAATCGGTCAAGCCTTTTCGGAGAAATATGGTGACTAACATTGTGACACAAGAGTTTCATATATATATATGAGACTCTTG